TTACCACCAATTCGAGGACACATGCACGAAGCATATCTTCCACTGTTTGGATTGTTCTCTCTGTCTGACCATCTGCCTGGGGATGATAAGCTGTGCTGAGAGAAATCCAAGATTTCAATTCACGCTGTATACTAGCCCAAAAATGAGAAATGAAACGTATCACAATCGCAAATAATCTTTAGTGGCACACGAAGTCATGCAACAATTTCATCCAAGTATACTTGTGCGTATTTCTCCATTGGAGATGTTCCATGCATGGCAAGAAAATGTGCACTCTTAGTCATTCTGTTTAAATTACCCAAATGCTATAATTCTGTCTTGCAGTCTTTGGAAATTTGGTAATAAAATCCATCGACAGCTCCTCCCATTTCCACATGAGGACATTAATACCTTCTGGATTACCATATGGCTTTTGGTGTTCGCTTTGACTTGTAGGGATACTAAACATTCTTGGACATATATTCCAATGTCTCTCTTTAATCCAGGCCACCAATAATCAGCTCGTACATCATAGTACATTTTATATGTACCAGGATGTATTGACAACTTAGATTTATGGTATCCATCTAAAATCTTCTGTCTTAATACACCAATCTCTGAATCCATAGTTGATTCTTAAATACTTTCAGTCCATGTGGATCATCAAGTAAAATATCAGCATAATGTACCATCCCTTCCTTCTTCACATTTTATGGCTTTAAGGCCTCTACTTGCCATTTTTCTAGTTCATCAAGAATAGTGAACTTTATTATAGTGTGAGTGATAACATAACACACAGTATTATGATAAACCTTCCTGCTAAGTGCATCCGCAACTACATTGACCTTTCCAAGATGATACAAGATTTCACAGTCATAGTCTTTGATCAGCTCCATGGCTTGTTGTTGTCTCATATTCAAAGTTTGTTGAATGAATATATACTTGGGACTTTTGTGGTCGGTAAACAATTGGCATTTTGTACCAAAAAGATAATGCCTCCAAAGTTGTAGGGAAAATACTACAGCAGCGAGTTCGAGGTCATAGGTGGGATAATTATTTTCATACTCTTTCAGTTGTCTTGAAGTATAGGCTATTACTCTACCAAGCTACATCAACACACAACTGAGTCCCAACCATGAAGCATCACTATACACGAAAAAATCATTATCGCCTTCTGGGAGTGATAAGATCGGAGCATGAGTCAAAAGATCTTTTAGAGTTGAGAAAACTTTTTATTTGGCTTCACCACATTCGAACTTTACTTGCTTTCATGTAAGACTTGTGAGAGGTATAGCTATACGTGAAAAATCTTTAACTAGTCTCCGGTAATACACCGCGGGACCCAAGAAACTGAGAATTTTAGAAGCATTACGGGGTGCTTCCTAATTCTGAATGGCTTCAATTTTAGTAGGATCTACTGATATACCGTCACCAGAAATCACATGGCCAAGAAATTTAATTTGACGAAGCCAAAATTCACATTTGGAGAATTTAGCATATTGTTTATCCTTTCGATGAAGTTCTAATATTTCACGAATATAAATGGCATGATCAGCTTTAGACTTGGAATAGATTAGAATATCATCAATCAATACAATAACAGATTTATCGAGCATTAGATGACATATCTGATTCATTATATCCATGAATACAGCAGGAGCATTTGTCAAACCGAATGGCATGACAAGGAATTCAAAATGCCGATAACGAGTACAGAAAGTAATCTTCGGTACATCCTGCTCGTGTACTTTCAACAGATGATAGTCATACCTCAAATAAATCTTCGAGAAATAGCTAACACCCTGAAGTTGATCAAACAAGTCGTCTATGCGAGGTAGTGGATACTTGTTCTTGATAGTTAACTTATTTAGTTCACGATAATCAATACACATTCACATCGATCTGTCCTTCTTCTTGACAAACAATAGTGGAGCACCCCAAGGAGAGGTACTCGGTCGAATAAAGCCCTTGTCAAGTAATTCCTGCAGTTGAATCATCATTTCCTTTATCTCAACTGGTGCAAGACGATAAGGTGTATTTGTAATCGGAGTAGCACCAGGCATAAGGTCAATTCAGAATTCTACTTGCCTATCTGAAGGAAGTCCACGAAAATCATCGTGGAAAACTTCAGGATATTCATTTACAATGTGAATATCATTTATAATTTTCTTCCCCTCTTTTGAGATATCAACTGTATAGGCCAGATAAGTAGAACAACCCTTCGATATAAACTTACGAGCTTTTAAGAAAGTGATTATTTTTAAGATTTTAAGTCTTTGTTCACCATAGATATAAATAGGATTCTCCCCTTCAATAGGAATGTGTACAATCTTTTTGTAGCACAAGAGTTCTGCATGGTTCTTTGACAACCAATCCATGCCGAGAATAATATCAAAATTGGGCAAGGAGATAGGAATCATGTTAGCAAAAAAATTATAACCTTTAATTTCTACAACACAATATCTATAGACTTTATCAGCAAGTAAGGATACACTTCCTGTTGTATCAACATGAAATGGTTTGGCGAGTGCAAAATAATTTGAAAAGAATGTGAAAATTCATCCGACACAGAAGAATCTGAGGCACCAGAATCAAATAAGATGTGAGCAGGTCTAGAGTTGATGAGAAATGTACCGGTCACAACATTTAGGTCTTCGTGTTCCTCCTCCGTGGTAATCTAAAATGCACAGCCTTTAGCTTTTGGCACCTCCTCCTTTTTAGTTTAAGTATTTATCGGTTGTTGAACAGAAGCTTGATTTCCCACCATTCACTACTAGAAAAAAGGCCTTTTACGACGCTCATTGCGCGTCGTAAAACACTCAGACGATGCGCAAATGCGTGTCAAGGAAGGCCCTGTCATAAAGAGAGACGACGCGCATTTACGACGCGCATTTATGACGCGCATTTACGACGCGCGGTTACGACACGCATTGCGTATCAAGGAAGGCCCTGTCATAAATGAAGATGACACGCATTCGCGTGTCGTAACCTTACGACGCGCACGTTAATGACACGCAATGCGTATCAAGAAAGCCCCTGTCAAGAAAGGCCATGTCATAAATGAAGATGACACACATTTTTGCGTATCGTAAATTTAAATGTTTTTTAAAAAATATTATTTATAGATTTACTTATTTTCAAATTAAATTTGTATTTAATGTTTCATAATAGAAATTAAAATATAATATACAAAAAATAGAATCCATTGCATCAATTTAATGTCCTACAAATAATCGTTCCATGGAAAGAGGTTTTCCTAACTATATAACCTAATACTACATTGTTATTAAGGAACACCTTCTTCTTTCTACTTCTTATTGTTATGTTTCTATTTCCGCATGATACCTATTTTCATCGTCAACACATTAGTATTCAGAAAGGCTTCAAGCATCATCAATCTATGTTATAAAATATTAAAATTTAATACACATGTAGTAACATACATTTTTCCAAGAATCCAAAGTTCAATATAACCAATTAATGAATAACTTGAAATACGGTCTGGGTTGAATGATGTACATCATGAACCAACACAACACAACAGATATGATAGTTACCTTGAATTGCAAAGTGATGTTAATGGCATCACTTATAAGCTCCCGGTTGGACCCATATCATGAACCAACACAACAAGTGCCTGATGAGACAACACACATTTTATAAAATCAAGAATTTCCCTATGTACCACAATTAATATCTCGAGAGTTATAGAATTTCATGTCAATTTTGGTGAAATTTTGAAATGGATAAACAAGCTTTTCAATCTATCACTATACAGTTTTTGATCAACCAATTCATAATACAATAAAAATAGTACCAAAGATTGATTAATTTAATCAAGTCTTTAAAAAATGGTGCAACACTTACTGTTTGTGAAAGCAAGGAATGAAGTGCATGCTCAAATTCATGGAAAAGGGTATCCACATCAGAGTGGTTAAGTCTCACGATTGATGAATTATGGGGCTTTAAGAAGTTGCAAACAACGACAATCACCTTCACAATAATAATCAACAAAAACATTTCATCACTTTTTTTCTATTTTTGGTAATGGAATACAATAATAATTCCTGCAATTTGCCCTTGATGAACAAAACAAAATATACTGTAATAACAACTTACTAGCAACTGGTATTCTGTTTTGGAAACTGTACGCCCTCCTCTTATGGCAAAATGAGCACAACCAGGATACTTCACCTGTTTACAATTTAAATCAAGGTATATATACCCCAAATCCCCCTGAAATGCATTTAATAACAAAACAAACAACAGTTAATTATATTTTTGGTCCCCTAATTTTTGCAATTTTGGTCTTATTTGAAGTTTTTGGTATCTGTTTCAAGAAAATGACTATATTTTTGGGGCCAAAGTTGAAAACAATCAGGTATTACTTGGAACAAGGATCAAAAAAGTTATAAGAACCTCAAAGGATGACCAAAACTGCAAGAGAAAACTTTTGGGACCAAATTGAAAAAATAAGCCATATTCAGAGACCAAACATTTAATTTACTCGATAAAACAAAATTGGGAATATTCATAGAAATGGATATGTACCTCATCAGGATGATGAAGGGCAACTGGTATTCTGTTTTGGAAACTTTTGGGACCCTTTTTGACATTTTTACCCTTCAACTGGTTGTTGTTTTTCTTGCCCACCACAAGCTTTGACTTTTTTGCATTGGTCAACTCCCCTGCCTGCACTTTAGGTGGTCTTCCCCTGCGTTCTAATTTCTTGAAAAGCGCCACATCATCAGTCAGATGTAATGATGTAGATTCACCTTGTGTCTTAGGAGGTCTTCCACGACGTTTTTGCTTCTTCTGTGGTTGACCAGTTTGTTGAATGTTTACATTGACTTCTTTGAGCTCAGTTTGGTCGAAGGAAATTCCCATATGTTGACTCAATCACACACAGTGTTCCCTCAGCAACCACCCTTTACAATGATACAGCAGTAGCAGCAACACGTGTTGCAGAGCCAGCTTGGCATTCAGGCCCCATGAAGCAGAAGTAGGACCAGCATGGAAGGTCAAGGATGTGGAGTTTTTCCTGATTTCAGCTTTGGGGAAGTAGCATCCTCACAGCAGCAACCAACTCCCTGCAGTAAAGTGATTGCAATAAGTATAAAGGATTTGGTTGGTTGGCAAATAAGTACAAGAATACTACCTCTGGGAGGAATCGATAGCAGCAATAACACAGATCATAAAAACAGCCCTGCATGAAATTTAAAAGGTCAACAGAAGCATACATATCCCCACCAAAGAAAAATCAGTCCAAAAACTTGATAACTATTACACATCTTCTACACAAATTTGCCTTTGTAGTGCCACACTAAAAATTAAATCAGTCAGATAAGAAAAAAGAACATGTGGTGAATATTTTTCACAAGAAATGACGTTCAATAAAATTTAAAAGGATTTAAATACCTCCAACTCAATTTTCTCACTATGCAGGGCAAGATACAAAAGGGTTACAATGATGGTTTCCATGATAGGGCATGGTTGATGACCAGCAGCTAAAACCTCATTGGCTTTAACGACCTTATCCTTAAATAACACCACCAATTTTACACTAAAATTTGACCTGGAAAATGGAGAAACATAATCAGGCCACATATAGCAGTCAGTACCTTAGTTGGCTGAAGCTTAACATCAGAAAGCCTATCAACCATGTTGTCCAATGATATAACCTGCAATACCACATATCAATGAAAAAATTAGACAAAAGAAATATCTATTGTCACTATATATTTACAGGAGAGTACCATATCATAAAACCCTTGACAATAGACCAAAACCCTACCCGCTTCAAGGTTCAAGACCATTCAACCACAGCTTAGGCATTAAATAACAAATAAACTGTGAATAAAATCTCAAATGTGGATATTTTACCAGATAACCGGATGAAGACGCAATGATAATAGTTGACATGAAGTTGGATTTCAGACCATCGATATGCTAAAACAGTGAAAAAGGAAATATTAAGCGGCTATGGAAGGGATAGAGGAGAGAGAATGAAGAAGATTTTGTGTTTTTGCTTCGTGATGATGCGAATATTTTATGGATTGAGCACCACCTGTAAGAAAATTAGGCGGGATTTTGCAAATTAGTTCCATGAACCAAGAGCTGGATTAAGAGGGGAAGAAGCAGAGGGATAGAGATGATGAATTCGAGATTGAGATGACGAATTCGAGAGATGGAGATGAAGAAGCCCTTTTTCTCCTCACACTGTTTTCTAATTTCACTACTAGAAAACAACCTGATGCTTAGGGCAGGGAGGGATAGAGATGATGAATTCGAGATGGAGATGAATTCGAGAGGTGGTGCTCATTGTTTGCGTTTTTTCTCCTCACACTGTTGGCGAGTATTCTCAATAACAGTAGAGAGATGAAGAAGATGAAATTACAGCAAGATGAATGGAAATCAGAAGCCCTTTTTCTTGATTGAGATGATGAATTCGAGAGATAGAGATGAAATCGTAACCTTCGATCTTTGATTGAGAAGTTGCACAACAGTGTGAGGAGAATGAAAGATGCGTGAAAATGCTTAGGGCAGGGAGGGTAGCGGGCTTTTCTAATTTTTTGGCTTTTCTTTTCCCGCTTGTAACTAAGGAACGCGCGTTCATTAAAATTATAAAGCGACACATATAGAGGGCGCGCATTTAAGGTACAGCGCCCTCCGTGTTTTTAATTTTTTTCTTTTGTCACTAATTTAAAGGCACACAATAATGCGTGACCTAAATCCTTAAATTTTCTGAAGAGGTGACACTTTTTTAATGTCACTCTCGTTTGCGTAACATATATTATTGAGTGTCGTAATTTGCGCGTCGTAAAAGGCTATTTTTCTAGTAGTGATTTGACTAGTAAGAGTAGGGCGAAAACGCTTCCTGTTTCCAGTGACACCACAAGAAAAGCATGTAATATTCTTCATTGGGCAAATGGGCTTCATGTGGCCCATTTCTCCACATCCATAACAGATCACCGATTCTTTTTCTATTTTGCATTGGACCTAGTGATTCTTTCCACATTTTCGACACGATGGTGACTGAAGAGAAAAATATTGTGACCTACCACTGCCACGAGAGGTATTATGAGATTATACTTGTTTGCTAGGATCAGATCGAACAGATTAAGTTGATGGAATAGAGGAAACAGGAACAGTTCGATCAACATGTCGATGCTTCAGAATAGAAAGAGTGGCACCACGTATCTCTAAATCATGCTCGTGATTTCGGGCACACTCAACCGCTTTATCAAATGACAGAACATCCTGATTGACCAAGAAATCGTGGATTTCATACCGTAGTCCTTCTACGAATAACTAAATTTTATCGTCTTCAGTTGGAATATACTTTGAAATAAACCGTGCTTTTTGATTGAATTGAGTTTCATAATCATTCACAGTTATTCCAACCTGTTTAAGATCAAGGAATTCTTTTTCCAATCTTCTCCTCATGTCTAGAGGATAGTTCTTTCCTAGGAAGCGATTTTTGAACATTTCCCAAGATAAATTCTCTTGGTCATACGTGTTGAGAGCTTCGAATGTTGCTTCCCACTAGACAAAGGCTTCTCCGATGAGCATCGTAGAAGCATAATTAGCCTTGTCTTCATTAACCAAATGAGAGATAAGAAATACTTTTTCTATGTTCTAGATCTAGGTAAGAACAAAAATGGGATGAAGAACACCTGAAAACTCCTTAGCACTATTACTCGTGAATGTTTTGAATGAGGGATGTTTCGCCTCCCTTTTTGAAGATTCTCCAGTGGCTTTCTATTTACCTTTATTACTATCCTTTTTGTGTTCTTCAAGAGTCTGTCGAATAACACTAGTTATTTTATCCATGAGTTGCTCCTCACGAGGGGATACTGGAGTATTCAATTCATTAGGATGGTGATCTCCAACCACATCTGGTGTATGACTACTCACCTGTTCAGCTATTCCTCTGAAAATTTAGTATAATATTGTATTTTAGAATATTAGGATTTATCAACACCTAATACTTTACTTAAGTCTTTCCTATTGTTTGTATCCATATACTTACATTGAATCCATTCATATATTGAACTTCCAATAGTTTATGTCTAAATACCAATCCGTGGGATTTAGTTCACTTAAACTACTACTCTGATACCATGATTGAGAGAACCCCTTCTCTAAACTTCACAATATTACTCCAAACATGCTACATGCATATTCATAATATAATTTACAAAAATTTTGGATACAAACCAGCTATTAAGATTTTTACAAACTTGTATGTATTACAAAGCTTCCAAGGAATTTATACACTACGTACAAAAGTGATATTATTAACTATTCTAGATCTTCCAACATTAAATGACTATACTGGATGCTTATCACCTGCAATAGTTAAACACTTAGAGGGATAAGCGGGTGACACTTAATAAGTTCAATAACATATACAATATAACACTATGCCATATATAACAATATGGCATAAGCAAAGAGGGACACAGAACAACAAAGGCATATGTGTATCATATGACATGATTTCCATATCAAACAATGATTTGATTCAAAGATTTACAATCGATGAGATACAGAAATTTCAACATGATATACATCAATAAAACTTCAGCCCAAGTGGCACAGAAAATTCTGATTATCATTTTGTTAGAATATATAGGCTTTAAGCCCTACCTTACCCGATGCCAATACCAAAAGTGATACGAGTCATGCTCTATATGGCCAAAGGTACAAAGCCAATTCCAGAAGTGATACGAGACATGCTCTACATGGCCAAAAGCATAAAACAAATACCAAAATAATACGAGACATTCTCTACATTTCTAATGGCTCAAAGCCAATACCAAAAGTGATACGAGACATGCTCTACATGATCAAAAGTATAAAATCAGAATAACACATGAAAGCACATTCAACATATAACACATAACATACAATTTTCCTTATATTGAACTCACTTTGAGATAACCGAATGATAAAATGAAAATTTGGGCAACACTTGTCTCTAAAATTGTCTTTCTTTGAGGAAACTGGGATTTTTTGTTGAAAACCGGGCTTTATGTGTGCAGAGTTACAACTGAAAATATTATTTTCTCGTGGTTTTCGGTGCTTCGGTGCTTGCTTCGGGTGTTGGGGTGATTTCCTAGGCTCTGAGGGGCGTTAGGATAGCTTGAAAGGAAGTAGAGGGTGTAAAAGTGTCAAATTTGTAACCATAAATAGGACAGCCTCGCACCCTATTTATAGTATCTTAAGCAACTAATTACGCTGGGCGTAATATCATAGTATGCGGGGCGTACTTCTTTACCAACCACTACGTTGGGCGTAAGTTCGCAGTACAAGAGGCATACTGATATGTGCACAATTAGTTAATTATTTAGCATATATTCTTAGTTATTTTTGATTAATTATGTGAATAATGTGGACAAAAGGTACTTAAAATGTTGTGAATTTTGTTTTCAATCCAAAAGATATGCTTGGAAGAAAAAAGGAGAAAAGGGAAGCAATTGAAGATCAAAGAGTGAAAGAAGGTGATATACTCGGCGAGTAGATCGACTCTACTCCGTGAGTACACGAGGAAGTTCCAGAAGATAAATACGACTGCTAATTCAAGACGGATAAGTATGGATCTACTCGGCGAGTTGATTCTGCTACTCGCCGAGTACACCCTGTTTTGGGATATCTATAAAATATGAATCCTTATCTCATGGGAGGATACTCCTGGCGATTTTTGAAGGTTTAGCTGCGACTAAGAGATTCAGAAGACGCTAAGGAACCCTAAGCTTCAATATTTGGAAGAATTCAAGCAATTAGGTTAATTCTACCACTTAGACTTAGGAATTGAATATGTTTGCTTTAGTAAACTTTGTTTTTATGTTTGTTTCTACTACAATTATGAGCTAAATTCGTTTTTGTTTCTGTTTGGGGAATACCAAAGAACTCCTATGGTTTGATTATTGATTCTTGCTTAATTGTCTATTGGTGATTTATTAAATTAAGTTTGTTAAAGAACCTTATGTATTAATCACTACTATTTTCTGTTAATTGGAAGGCAATTAGGTTGCATGAACATCACTTAATTGTTAACCTCATATGTCTATGTGAATACTGAACCATATGCTTAGAAGTAATGATTATGAAACTAAGATTAATAAGAAAATAGGAAGATTAATGTGTGAGCTTGTTTGAGAAACCATCAACAAGAGGTTAATTGAATTAATAACTTAATTGACCATTACAAATCTTATTTAATCCAAATAATTAATCTAGGGAATTAATTAGTTTAAACACTTGATCAACGCTTAAATTAGTTAATTGTCTAAGGGTTAGGAGTAATGAATATGAACCTAACTATTATAATTGGTAACCAATATCAATTAATCTACCATAGACTTAAATAACCATTGGAGTGAATTGGTTGAACCTAAATGGAAACATCTTTATCAAATTTGGTGAATAGTTGTTGCTTTAGTTAATTAGTTAATTTAGTTTGTCTAAGTTTCAAGTCTTGCAAAACTAGAGAAAAACCCTTTACTTTTATTATTTGTTTTAGTTAAAATTAGTTATTAGTTTAATTTTCCGTTCCCTGAGTTCGATACCTTACTTATCAATCTATACCACTTAAAGACAGGTTCACTGCCTTTGTGTGCTCAATTTATTAATAAAAAGTAGGGATAAAACTAGTTGGTTTTACACACATCAAGTTTTTGGCGTCGTTGCCGGGGAACGGTTCTAAATAATTAAGCTAATTCCTAATTTTTTCGATCTTTTGTATGAGTTTACTTGCATAAAGTTCATTTATTGCAATTTAGTAATTAGTAATTAGGTTTTAGTATCTGTT